AGTGGTAATTGCAGCAGGAACATGTGTGTTCCTGCATAACACAAAAGGAAAGATGCCATTTGGCTCAAGATTTGGGTCACGGCCATAAATAGAACTCACCTGTTAAACAAACTGCAAAAAACTCCAAAATCCTTTGAGGATTTGATTCTTTCCAGCTTCAAATGACAGTCCTACCAAGTACTCTGTAAAGAGATTCCTTGGATGTACTATGCCCCCTCGCTGCAACTACTGCTGTGGGAAGGGATGTGGCAGGAAGGAGGGGAAGTAAAATAAAGAGCAACTTCAGACTGTTCTGTAATTTCTCATCTTCCTGTAACCAAGCTACATCTTGAACCCCCCACCCTGCAGGATGAAAGACAGCCTCACCTCAGTTTGCACCATGAGAGGCCGGTGCATGCGAAGGTCGTACACCACTCCGTACACATCCACTGTGCTCTCCATTTCCATTTGCTGAATCAGGCGGTCAATGGCAATGAACGTCCCTGTCCTGCCAACACCAGCACTGCAAGGACACAGGGAAGCTTGTTACTGCTTCCTCTCAACCACCAACAGCTCCATGAGAAATCAGTGAAGCTACTAAGATGCTTTCTGTTATTTCAGGGGTACAGGTTTGACAAGTCCCTGCAGTCCAGAAGGGTGGTTCTTACCATCACCTAAAGGTAGGGTGGACACTCTTTTGGGCTTCCCAACCTTGCACTTGCACAAGATTACATATAGAAGTACTTGGAAAAGAAACTTTTTCAGCTAAGTTTTCCATGCTAGGAGAGACAATCTATTCTAAGGAAATTTGGCATCACATACTTTCCTGCCTACAAGACATTGCTACGTTTCTGAAGCAGGAGGCAAAGGGTTTAAACATGGTGTGGGGTTTTTTTTCATCACATTGAAAAATAATTGTTCTTACAAAAGGCACAAGATAAAAGGGTATGTAACACAAACGTCCTTCCCACCTGCAGTGCACCAGCGTAGGAGAGTCAATTGGATTTTGACTGCTGTACTCATGAACAAGGTGTCTAAAGTTGATGAGAAGGTCTGTTGTCTCTGGCACTCCATGATCTGGCCAGGAGGTGAAATGGAACTGGCGCACCGTGTGGCTCTCTGGTGTGTTGGACTAGAGAAATGTATGTTTTAAAGAAAGAAAAGAAACAGGTTCCAGAGGAGCAAGAGTAGGGCTTCCTGCCATATGTACTGGGCAAAACTCAGCTTCATTAAAAATGCCTGTTACAAAATGTGCAGTAATTTGATAATGATATTTCAGTTTCCCCTCTTCCTTCCGCTCTGGTAAAGAATACTTTGAAATAATTTCCTTTTACTTTTCACTTCACTCCAAGATCATCTCTGCTGAATTACATTTGTTTACAGAGATGGAGCTAATTGTGCAGTCTAGCAGATATTACAAGTATCTGCATAAGCACAAGTTTTGGTGCAAGTCTCAGGGAAACACAAGGTGCAGGATCACTGATGACGCAGTCAGTAATTCCCATTAGCAGGGTGGATTCTGCTGGTAGATCCCTTCCCTTCCTGCTACAGGGAGGGTCTTGCTGACAACTCATTCTCACCTCTGGGTATGTTACTAAAACACTGTTGTAGGAAAGCCAGAGCGTATGAGCAAATGCATATACATAAATATCACCAGAATCTTATTGTCAGTAAATGGCAGGAAATGTTTTAAATCAGACTTTAGGCAGAAAGCAGACCAATACATTCAAAGCCTCAAGTTAAAATAAGCAACCCTCAAATAACTGAGTTTTATGAAGTGCTAGTGAAATAACTGTATTTTGTCACTCCAGTGTTGCTTGACACGTGAAGTCACAGTGATAAAACAAACCACTTCTACAGATATTTGTACCCAGCTTACTGCTGACGGGGTACTCACCTTTTCTACAGTGAAGTCCCTTATTGTCCATTCTGGAAGGACAATCTCTGAGACTATTGTCACAATAATGTCACCATAGCTCTTGGATTGTTCATCTGGCCAGTATTGCTCACATTTTGTCTAAGAGGAGAGTTACAAGGTTAGACATTATACACAGCAACAAAGTGACTCTTAGTTTTCAATAACACACCATCTGATGCAGGGCTAGAAAGCAGGTCACCCTTCCCAGTGGCCCATCTCAAGGTAGGAGAAGCTCTACCAAAATCATTCTTCAGGGAGAAGAACCCACCCTTAAAGACAGTAATTCCATAACCCTCCTGAGACAATTTATTCTGGTAGTAAGTCAGCAGATACAAAAATGGGAAAAGGCTAAAGAAAATAGTCTCATTTAATTTAAAAAAGAGTCTCCCATTAAGTGGATAGATATTAAAAGAAAGTGGTCAGTCCCCAACCTACTACAGTATTACAAGAGAACCAACTGCCTTCAAGAGATACTTCAGTTTTAATAAAAACATACCCGGGCTTGTTCAACACATTTTGTCAACATAACAATAGAGTAGATATTCTTTTCCCAAATCATGCGCCAGAAGTCTTCTATAGTATTGGGTAAAGGGCCCTGTGCAGCAATGAATGCCTTCCTTGAGTTATAGCCCTAAGAAGAAAAAAATAAGTATGTATATACATATACATACACATACATGCCTCAGTGAGACATAATAAGCCAATTTTAGATATCATGATGATCTGTCAAGCCTACATCATAAAAACACACACTATATTTCATTTCAGCTAATGAAGTAACTTACAGGAATATAGTTTGCATTGATATAATCATCAGTTGCAGAGCTTTGATCTGAAAGTTTAACACGAGAAATATCATCTGCAGAAAAAAAAAAGGAAAATAAAATAATGAATTCTAGAACCAGAACTTTTCAGAAAAATACTGCTTCTCTAATGCATGGTTTCTAAATAACAGATATTTTAGAACAATGTACATTTTAAGAGTAATAATATACCTTTACAAATCATAAATAGCAGTAGTTTAGAATTTTAAAATGAAAGCCTTCAGAAAAATGAGTGGCCAGGATAAAAATTCAGAATACTCTAAACAGCTTTTTTAAGAAATTGTTTGGCTTTGCATATGTATGTATTTTTAATCAACACAAAATGTCCTATAGCTTTAATTACTACAGAAAAGCAGGTAATTTGTATCCTGCTGCCATTGCAGCTGATGCTTTTCCTCCAAAGTATCCCTAAATCATAGAATTGTTTGGGTTGGAAGGGACCTAGAAGATCATCTAGTTCCAACCCCCCTGCAAGGACAGGGACACCACCCACTAGACCAGGTTGCACAAAGCCCTGTCCAACTTGGCCTTGAACACCTCCAGGGAGGGGGCAGCCACAACCTCCTTGGGCAACCTGTGCCGGTGTCTCACCACCCTATCAGTGAAGAGTTTCTTCCTAAGGTCTAACCTAAATTTCCCCTCTTTCAGTTTAAAACCATTACCCCTTGTCCTATCACTACACACCCTGGTAAAAAGACCCTTCCCAGCTTTCCTGTAGCCTCTTCAGGTACTGGCAGGCTGCTCTAAGGTCTCCTCAGAGCCTTCTATTCTCCAGGCTGAACAGCACAACGTGTTTTCCTTCCAGTTCCTTCTTAAGCCTCTGCTACACTGGGGTGCCTGCAGACAGTGTGGCTGGGCTTAGGCTCTTAAGTTCATCTGCAAAGATGGCCAGCAGGGTCTTAATATATTCCTCATAACTGTACATTTCTCTGTGTAGTCAACTTTTAACCTCTTGTTTTTTCAATCTGGACTGCAAGTTTCTCACAAAAGGAAAATTAGACAACTAAGGGAAAGTTCTTTAAAGGGGGTTTCTTGAATGTTTGGGAACGTTTGGGAATCTTAGGCAACATTTTTGAGGGAAAGTTCTTTAAGTTTGCTTATACAGTGATTTTAGGAAAGCAGCAGCCCAAATTCATTCAGTTGGAAGTTAACGTTGATCCCTCTTTGAAACCTGTGGGTACTATTAAAGCCAGATTAGCCAAACCCAGGTGTTTTCACCTAAAAACTCAACTAACAGAAGATGTAAAACCTAAGAGTAACTCACATGGTAAGACATTGTTGTATCGATTTTTTCCCCTGTTCTCAGCAAGTTCGGCTGCAAACTTGGGCTGATGAACACCAGCAGACTTGAGTTCCTACAATAAAGGGATCCATGAGCAATTGGTCCTGGTTTAGGAATCATACAGAAACACATGACTAAAACAAATACTCCAAACAGAAATAGTTTTGCAGAAATATATGTCACTGACATCAACTGCACATTCATTCTGACCCCAAGGCAGTGAGCTACTTAGCATAAGCTTTGCAGATATTACAGGGGCAAAGGGAGCAAGTACATCATGAAAGGATTGAGGGAAGCAAGGCAAGGTGGAGCACCAACCTGCAAAGTACAATAAAAGGGACAGAACTGGAAAGAATAAGTCAAAGCCTCAAGAGGATGAAAAAAAATGAGATTCTTTAACAGCAGACATGATAACAGAATCTTTACTGACACTTGGTTTCCATCTTTTGTACATCATAACACTTGAGCTTTAGCACATTTCATAGAAAAACAATTATGGTCACTAAGCAAATCATAGTCACTGCTTCTCTGACTGCTCCTTAGACCTATGTTTTCAAACGACACCTACACATTAAAGAAGTCAGAGACTTGTCTTCTGTGCAGAAAAAAGACAACAAGATAAAAAAAACAACAAAGTGCACTCAAGTAAATAGCCTTCCCTAGGCTAACTCTGTAGTGCAACTAGGACAAGGACTCGAGAGATCCTGGCACTTCAATTACATTTAGGGCTGAATCAGTGAAGGGAACACTATACATGCAGCTTAACAAGCTCCATAAAGGTCCTTTCTCTTCCCTTTCAGTAAGCCTCACGTATGCTCCACAGGAAAGCTAATTTGCCTTTCCAAAAATATTTGTAATGAAGCTCTCTCCACTGAGGGCACATACCTCATACTCTTCAGCAAAACCACAGTTGGAGTCAGCTTGCTGCTTCTTAAAGTAGGACTCAAAGTTCTCCACTTTAATCATTTTTGATCTAAAATGAGAAAAGCCACGTACTGGTAACTGGTATCAGGTAAAATAAACCATTAATTCTGTTACTGTGTTAGAATATGTGCTTTACTTACTTCTTGACTCTTCAGGGAAGGGTAGGGGGAAGAAAAAAAAAGGTTGATTAGACACATGCAGCTGTATTTTTCATTATGTGAATCTAAGAACAAAAGCATGACTGTTAGTAGCAGCCACAAAACTATGAATTTACAGGAGACAGGATATCAAGCAAACCATTTAACTGATCTGTTAAACCAAGGAGAGAATAGCACACCTTTCAGCAGAAGATCATCACAGAAGGTGTCAGTCAGCTGCTTCCATCAGCATAAAAACTGGTGCAAGAGCCAATAATGTGATTCAATTGCACTGCCTGTGACTTCCAATATATTATGGCTACCCTCTCTAGGCCAGCTTTTATAATCTCAACATTATCTGAATTAATGGCTCAGCACTAAGTAGTCACAAAGGAAAGGAAAACTCAGACCACAGTGCAGAATTTTGCTTATGTGCACTTGATCAACAATTCAGCTTGTTTCTTCAATGAGCACAGAAGCCTGTGTTTCATTCAAACATCCTGTTTTTCAAAACTATGTGGAGCATTTGTGTGCCTAATAGCAATTCAATGAAGCAGCCACTTAAATCCCAGGGGCAGCTCTAGAAGTCTCAATCAATATGATTATTTTTAGGCTGCAGGCTGCAGTCTTTAAATTCCTTTAGGAATTAATACTGCAAAATTCTATACAAAACTGTACATAAAACAAGTATCAAGGTTCAGATTAAGCTTTACAAATATTACTTGAGCTCAGAAAACCATGTGTGAAAGGATGTGGACTTACTTAATAGGAGAAAAGGACACTTCAGTATTTCTTTTATCTTTCCTATAAGGCAAAATAAAACAAAACAATAGGTTCGCAGTACAATTTAATGGAATGCATATGAGATTTCTTATGACAACTATTTCCTGTGCCTGTTCAGAACAATTTCTTTTACAGCATCTCATTCTGTGCAAAAAAAAAAAAGTCTCCTGAGGCAAACCTGAAACCTGGACCAAGAATAAAATACTTCATCCTTCATTAAACAATGTTGTGCAATGGGACTATTTCTTTCTGTTGAAGCCAGAGTATAACACCTGAACACAAAGCGCATAGTTTGTGGAAGAGGCACATCTTAGGGATCTGCATCACTAGCAGTCTCAGGAGAATTGCTGTTAATCCCAGAATCTCTACACTAAGTGTTTGTTCAACAGTTGTGTTAGTGACATCAAAAGATTATTTGGAAAAGACTGGAAACTGAGAGACCAGCTCAAACCCTAGGCAACTCATCAGCTTCTCGAAACTCCAGAATGGAAGTTTCATGTGATAAGTCATTAAGTAATTAAAAAGCATTATTAATCGATAAATTTAAAGAAAACCATGTAAAAATGCAATTAAATATGCCATTTAGCACCATAATTGATGATGTTCGTGAGTGAGTTACTTCATCAGCATGCATGAATTCAGAATAGCTAAACAAAAGTCATTAGTTTGTAACTATGAGGTTGAACACAGGGATTTAACTAGTTTGATAACCTGACTCCAATCTGTAACATACAAGATTTTTAATAGAATGTATTTTAAAGCATCATGGCAGAAATGTATAAAGCAGAAAGAGAGGCCTTTTAGGAGAATGATACAAGAATGAAACACTTAGTGTTCCTCATCACAACAAATAAAATAATGAACACACATTACCTTCTCCTTCTCCAGAATATGAAACCACCTATAGCAACTACAGCCAATATAGCTAAAAGGCATCCAATAACGGCTCCAGCAATAACACCTGATAAAAGAAAACACGTATTACTCATTACTGATTTACCTCTTTGCTAATGATTTAACTTAATGAACATGCTGTAAGTGAACCTTGTATGTGATAGGGCACACTCTGCTCTACTAAATGTCTTTTCTTTACTGTGTCCTTGAAAGCTCATTAAGAACAACAAACCAAGGGTGATAAACTAATAAAAAATTGGGATCAAAGGACCAGTATTTGCATTTCTGATACACCCGCTTCTGATTTACTAGAACTTTTAGAACATCAGCTGCTTTTTACTACTTGTTTCTGTACCAAAGGCTCACTGTGCCGTGCAATGGCTACTTCCACAGCAGAAGTCACACCTGGAAAAAAAGAGGTCACCCTCAGAACTAGCAAGGTAAGAGTTTACAGAGCATTGTCACCGCAAAGCCAGAAAGGAACAGTCCACCACAGAGAAAGCAACGGCTGTTTTGGTATTATGGAACTTGGCATAACTAAGGAATCTTGACACACTGTGTATGTGCCACACTGAAGGTCTTACATTTCACGTTAACTATACCTGGATCCTGGGGTAGCAAAACTGCCTCAGAGCAGGGTGAAAATGACACATAACTATCTTCCCCCGCAATGACGTTGGCCATAGTAAAGGTTATATTAGTGAATCCTGCAACACTTGCCCTGTTGATAATGGAGAAGAAAAAAAAAACAGGGTACGTTACATGGTTTTAATAGCTTCAAGCAAGAACTGTAATCTTTTAATTAGAAGATTTTTTAGATTTCAGTTGCAGCAAAATTAACCAAACAGCTGTTTGAGATAAATACCTGTAGGAACCAAGTGGAATCAATGGTCCATTTTCGTAGCCATACATTTTGTTTCCATTGCCTACATTAATGATGTTTGCACCATTCTGAGAATGGGAAGAAGGTGATTTTGCCTGCTCTGTATCTATGACATACGTTACATAGGTGACTGTCATCTTCTTCTTGAAATCTTTGTATGTGTTGTTTAAATTAGACTTCAGTGACCCACAACCTGGAGGAAAAAACAAGGATATAGGTGGTATACATCAGCCACTGATTTTCTATCAATTGGCACAGTGGCTGAGACAGTAATAGTCCGTCATGTTAACCACAGTTGTCATTACTCCACAAATACTGCCTGAATAGAAAGACTGAGTGCAACAGCCCAAAGCTGTCCTACTACAGTACAATATACTGAACTACTACTCCCCAGTGTTGCTTGTTTTAATCTCCTTTTGGTTTTGCTTCTACCATGTATAGCAGAGCTTCTCTGGGAAGGATGGAGAGTTCCATTTCCTGGGGCTCCTCCCTCTGCTGCTCTAGAGGACTAGGCTGAGTACAAGCTTACATACTTTAAGTTGATGTTTGTATTATTTTTCTTATTTCACTAAATCTGTTTATATTTCAACCCAGGAGGCTACTCTACTCTTCCCAAGCCCCTTGGGGAGAGGTCATCAGGCGAGAAAGCAAACTACTTTGGTTTAGCTTTAGATACGGGCTAAATGAAGACACACATGCATAATATAACAGCTTACCTTGTTCTTCTGTTGTGATCATTACTGCATAGGCTTGTAATGGTCCATTCACTGACTCAAAATCAGAGAACTCAACAGACAATGAGCTGTGGCTGAGTGCCTTGACTAAAGGAGCTTTGTTTGGTGTTGGTGGGTCTATAAACAGAAATACTATTTTTTAGTACCAAATGGCTGACAAAACTTTTCCAAACAAGAAATACATTCTGCATGAATGTAGTGTTTTATTCATGATCTGTAGGCTAATAATGTATTGCTTATCAGGTTTGGTATTCTGCTATAATGAAGTTAAAATTTTGGACTATGAATATACTTCATTCTCAAATCTCAACACTTACCAGTAATGCTTGTATTACATGTTTCCTGCACTGAATCACTTTCAAAACCATTTGAAAGAGTTGCAATAGTAACAGTATAGGTGCTGAAGTAACTTAAAGATTCTATTCTGAAGGTTTCCTCTGTGCCTTCTCTCATGCAGGATGGAGGCAAGTCCTCTTTTTCCCATGAATCATTAAATATTTTAATTTTGAAGCCAGAATTGTTACCAGAAGGACATTTCCACTTTAGCATTAAGGAAGACTGCTTGGCCAGTGGCTCACACTGAAATGAATTCACTAAGGCAGGAACTGAAAAGAAAAAAAATAGAGAAGTAAGAAATCGTGTATAGTAGTAAACAGGAAAATCTGTTTATTGTCAAATCTGTGTATAAACATCTGTAAACTTCAGCATGCCTCTACTTTTAAGATGGAGCCACTGCCTACAGGCACTTGCTGCTCTATGAGGAAGAAACATATTTAGCACATTAAATACACAGCTCTCTTCTGTACCAGCTCCTCTGCACACAGGTTTACTAAGAAAATGTGGGTTGAGTATCTGTCAATATCACTAAAGTTTTCAAAACAGAGTTCAAACGTTGAACACATCACTCTAAGAACATTTTTAGAGTAGTATGTAGACTGATGGAAAACTCTTAGCGGCCAACAAATAAGAAAACCATAAGCTCTGTGCATTAAAAACCCAGCACAAGCCACCTTTAAAAGAAGCAACTGTAACATGTCAGTTTGTGTGAGAGTCCTACAGGACACAATATAAAAATTGCAACCTTATGACCACACACCAAAAGATAATTAAAACTTAATGGAGCGGTAACGCTGAGAGGTCCCTCCGAACTAAACACCCTACAAAAATTGGTCTTCAAGACCAAAACTGTAACTTCTACAGTTACAACACAAAGCAAATTTATTTCCTCTCTTGATAAAGAAGTATTTGGCACTTCCAAACACAGGGGTAAAAGACTCATAGATTAAGTTATTTGGTTATTAAAAAGGGCTATTATTTTATGAAACTCAAGAGAAAGGAGCAGCAGAATTGTGTACCAGAAGAAACAGACATAGTCAACAGATATGTGAATGAATGGGATTAATTTTAACCATATTTTATAAATATTTATTTTCCTTCAATAACACTGTCAGCTACTCCTACAAATACAGCGAAATTATACAATCTTCCAGAATTTAAGTCTGTAATAACAGCTCTGGTGACACTGGAAGGCTGCTTTCTAGAAGAGGAACCAGGACTTTGTATCTCTATCCCATAGGTGTAGTTAGACGTAGTATCCTCTGTGCTCTGCGGGAAAAATCAAAGACCATCTCCATCTGGATATGGAAAAGGGAGCTGGGCTCTGTGAAAGCCAAGATGAGACTCCATCAACACTCACAAATACTGCTGACAAATCCAGACAGAAGCAGCAGAGGAACAGCCATGCTTACACATTTTGGACACACTGAGCATTATGAGTAGCCAAGCAGCACTTCAACAGTGCTACAGACTCTCTTAATGGGTTAATCCTGGAGCACCTCTAGAAACCTCTCTAAACAGCTGGGACAGATACAGTTCACCTCAGTTGAAAACAGGACAAAACAAAGGAGAGGACACAGCAGCACATGTTCACAAGGGGAAAAATGGTCACAATGCCCAGCCTGAGGAATACAGGAACACCTCAACCTTCTCTTTGCTGAGGAGCTGAGCAGAGCAGTGTGGCTGGGAGCCACATACCACAATGCTGACCACAGCCCAGATGCAGACGCAGGCCCCTCCAATGGGGGAAGTCCCCCATGTACACAATGCACTCTGTGTAGGAGCTCCTCAAAAGAAGGATGCAAGAGCCTCATCCACAAAGAAGAGTAGACAACAAAACCTTCTGCAGAACCCCCTTCCACACATTAGCATTGCTAATTGCAAATAGGCTGTGTGCAGCACTTCTATCTGAAACAGTATTGTATTTCAGCCCTCAGACAGGTAGAGAGAACACTGTGCAGCACTTGTTCACCAGGAACCAGTGTGGAAGCGGGTGTGACTTACTTGTACAGCGGCTTAAGGACACTCCTTCTGCTTCCGTCTCACCATCAGCTGCTACTGCAAATACTCTGAAATTGTACATTGTCCCAGGGATTAGATCAGTAATTTCAATTTTGAGAGCATCAGATCTCAGGTTCCAAGCAAAGGTACCATTTGTAACCTCTATCCTGTACTTGTAGGAGCTGGAAGCAGAGTCGTTCACTGCCCATGTTAAGTTGACAGAAGTCTCACCAACAAGTTCTGCCTGGAGATCATGGACTGGGCTGGGCTCTGTGAAAGGCAAGACAACAATCTGTCAAGAACATCTGCTCACAGACATGGACAGAAGAAACACAGGCACAGCACTCCTGCATTCCCTTCACATCAGGGTTCAGAGTGCAGGAACACCCCAGCAACATCACCAGAAGCTCCTGGATGCCTTTGCATCAGTGGCTGGGTAACAGAAAAATAAGAAAGAGGCAACTCAAGTGTGAGGCATCTTCCTTTCACCATTGTAGGGAAGAACATCATGGTACCTGCACTCTAAAGATTTAACCCTAGCAATCCAGAGAGCTCAACAGAAAGGAGAAAAGAGGGGAAAGAGGGCAGTGCATCTCTGCACAGCAAAAAGTAAGGAACATCATATATCACTAGAAGAGGAACAGAGGTGATGACCCAGACATTCTGCTCTTTCTTCAACTCTCATGCCCTGAGCTCACTCTCATGGCAGAGTCACCATCTCCAAAATTGCTCTCTGCAGCACTCTATTCTCTGTGCATCTTCAAAACTGGGAAACTAGCCATTACAGTCAGGCAGCACAGGGAATAGTTTTGGAAATTAACTGGAAAAGTAGGAGCACACATGCAGGAATGTTTCCAGAAAACACAAATGACAAGAACTGGCCTATGTTTCCTTTCAAACACAGCCTGTGCAATGATGAGGTTGGGCTACAGCCTTGCAGGTCATCTCCAAAATAGTCCCTCCAACACCACACATCAAGACTTTTCATATTGAACGTAGAAAGGTGTGCTGGATGGTCAAAGCAGTTCTCCTGAACTTGCATTGCCTAAAACTAACTCTCCTATTGCAGAGTGATAGCATCTATGGGCCCCCAAATCAGAAGTTCCCCATGTGCAACATACTCTGTGTGAGATCACCTTAATATAAAGGTTTGAGGTCCCTATATTCTAGGAAATAAAACCAATTTCCCTTCTCAAATTTGTAACCCAGGCATTCTTAGGGAAAAACCTCTTTGCTGCATTGTCAGCCTTGGGGACAAACTTCACTAACAGCTTTCTATGAGGGCAGTGCTGCTTCTGCACTTTTACATCCCATGTTTGGCCGACTGACTATTTCCAAGACCAAACCAACACCTCTGCCTGCAACTACAACCCTCAGGCATGTAGGCAGAGCCCTGAGCTGCACAGCAAGTGACAGTCCACCAGAAACAGGGATGCAACAAATTGTGACTTACTTGTATAGAGGCTTATGGACACTCCTTCTCCTTCTGTCTGACTGTCATTGACTCCTGCAAATACTGTGAATTTGTACTTCGTCCCAGGGATTAAATCAGTAATTTCAATTTTGAGAGCATCAGATCTCAGGTTCCAAGCAAAGGTACCATTTGTAACCTCTATCCTGTACTTGTAGGAGCTGGAAGCAGAGTCGTTCACTGCCCATGTTAAGTTGACAGAAGTCTCACCAACAAGTTCTGCCTGGAGATCATGGACTGGGCTGGGCTCTGTGAAAGGCAAGACAACAATCTGTCAAGAACATCTGCTCACAGACATGGACAGAAGAAACACAGGCACAGCACTCCTGCATTCCCTTCACATCAGGGTTCAGAGTGCAGGAACACCCCAGCAACATCACCAGAAGCTCCTGGATGCCTTTGCATCAGTGGCTGGGTAACAGAAAAATAAGAAAGAGGCAACTCAAGTGTGAGGCATCTTCCTTTCACCATTGTAGGGAAGAACATCATGGTACCTGCACTCTAAAGATTTAACCCTAGCAATCCAGAGAGCTCAACAGAAAGGAGAAAAGAGGGGAAAGAGGGCAGTGCATCTCTGCACAGCAAAAAGTAAGGAACATCATATATCACTAGAAGAGGAACAGAGGTGATGACCCAGACATTCTGCTCTTTCTTCAACTCTCATGCCCTGAGCTCACTCTCATGGCAGAGTCACCATCTCCAAAATTGCTCTCTGCAGCACTCTATTCTCTGTGCATCTTCAAAACTGGGAAACTAGCCATTACAGTCAGGCAGCACAGGGAATAGTTTTGGAAATTAACTGGAAAAGTAGGAGCACACATGCAGGAATGTTTCCAGAAAACACAAATGACAAGAACTGGCCTATGTTTCCTTTCAAACACAGCCTGTGCAATGATGAGGTTGGGCTACAGCCTTGCAGGTCATCTCCAAAATAGTCCCTCCAACACCACACATCAAGACTTTTCATATTGAACGTAGAAAGGTGTGCTGGATGGTCAAAGCAGTTCTCCTGAACTTGCATTGCCTAAAACTAACTCTCCTATTGCAGAGTGATAGCATCTATGGGCCCCCAAATCAGAAGTTCCCCATGTGCAATATACTCTGTGTGAGATCCCCTTAAAATAAAGGTTTGAGGTCCCTATATTCTAGGAAATAAAACCAATTTCCCTTCTCAAATTTGTAACCCAGGCATTCTTAGGGAAAAACCTCTTTGCTGCATTGTCAGCCTTGGGGACAAACTTCACTAACAGCTTTCTATGAGGGCAGTGCTGCTTCTGCACTTTTACATCCCATGTTTGGCCGACTGACTATTTCCAAGACCAAACCAACACCTCTGCCTGCAACTACAACCCTCAGGCATGTAGGCAGAGCCCTGAGCTGCACAGCAAGTGACAGTCCACCAGAAACAGGGATGCAACAAATTGTGACTTACTTGTATAGAGGCTTATGGACACTCCTTCTCCTTCTGTCTGACTGTCATTGACTCCTGCAAATACTGTGAATTTGTACTTCGTCCCAGGGATTAAATCAGTAATTTCAATTTTGAGAGCATCAGATCTCAGGTTCCAAGCAGAGGTACCATTTGCAACCTCTATCCTGTACTTGTAGGAGCTGGAAGCAGAGTCGTTCACTGCCCATGTTAAGTTGACAGAAGTCACATCAACAAATTCTGCCTGGAGATCATGGACTGGGCTGGGCTCTGTGAAAGGCAAGACAACAATCTGTCAAGAACATCTGCTCACAGACATGGACAGAAGAAACACAGGCACAGCACTTCTGCACTCTCTTCACATCACTCAGGGTTCAGAGTGCAGGAGCACCCCAGCAACATCACCAGAAGCTCCTGGATGCCTTTTCATCAACAGGCAACTAAGGAAAAACTGTAAAAAAGTAATCTTGAATGTGATTCATCTCCCTTTGACATTCCAAAGTAGAAAACCATCACTCTGACACACTCCCAGGCTTTCCCTTAGGAATCTAGAGAGGTGGGCAGGAAAGGGCTAAGTATGGTAGGGAAGAAAGAGGAGTGTTTGGGGTTTTTTTGGTTGGGATTTGGTTTTGTTGTTATGGGGGATTTTTTGTTTCTGGGTGGGCTGGAGCAAGTTTGGTGTTTAAAAAAACCAACACAAACCAACAAAAAAAAACCAAAATGAAGGCTATGTTTCTTCTACACATGAACATCCCATTCTTAGGAGACAGCCCAGGTAAAGCCTCTATTAAATTTCAGCCCTCGGGCAGGTAGGCACAGCCATGAGCTGCATGGAAAAATATGATCCAACACAAACAGAGCTGGAAGAAACAGTAACTTACTTGTATAGAGGCTTATGGACACTCCTTCTCCTTCTGTCTGACTGTCATTGACTCCTGCAAATACTGTGAATTTGTACTTCGTCCCAGGGATTAAATCAGTAATTTCAATTTTGAGAGCATCAGATCTCAGGTTCCAAACAGAGGTACCATTTGTAACCTCTATCCTGTATTTGTAGGAGATGGAAGCAGAGTCGTTCACTGCCCATGTTAAGTTGACAGAAGTCTCACCAACAAATTCTGCCTGGAGATCATGGACTGGGCTGGGCTCTGTGAAAGGCAAGACAACAATCTGTCAAGAACATCTGCTCACAGACATGGACAGAAGAAACACAGGCACAGCACTCCTGCACTCCCTTCCCATCACTCAGGGTTCAGAGTGCAGGAGCACCCCAAAAACATCCCCAGAAGCTCCTGGATGCCTTTTCATCAACAGGCAACTAAGGAAAAACTGTAAAAAAGTAATCTTAAATGTGATTCATCTCCCTTTGACATTCCAAAGTAGAAGTTAAAGACATCAATCTTGACAGCACTCTCAGGGCTTCCTTTGTGAATCTAGAGAGGTGGGCCGGAAAGAGTACAGCACAGCATAGCATCATTTGAGATAGAAGGGACAATTATCTTGTCCAACTGCCTGACCACTTCAGGACTGACCAAAAGTTAATAATGCACTTAATAATGTGCTTTAAGTCCAAATACCTCTGAAACACTGCCAGACTTGTGGCATTGACCACCGCTGTAAAAAGCCTGTTCCAGTGTTTAACCACCCTCTCAGCAAAGAAATGCTTCTTAATTTAAAGTCTAAACACAGATTTGAACCATTGCCACATTTCCTGGCACTGGATCTCAGGAAGAAGAGATCAGCACCTCCATCTCTCCTTTTCCCCTCCTCAGGAAGGTGTAGAGAGCAATGAGGTCACCTCTCAGCCTCCTTTTTCCTGAGCTAGACAGACCCAGAGTTCTTAGCCACTCATCTTGGAACATTAGGTTGGATATCAGGAAAAGGTTTTTCACCCAGAAGGCGGTTAAGCACCGGAACAAGCTCCCCAGGGAAGTGGTGACAGCACCAAGCCTGCCTGAGTTCAAGAAGCGTTTGGATGATGCTCTCAGGAACATGGTGTGATTCTTGGGGTGCCCTACAGGAGGGGCAGGAGTTGGACTTGATGATCCTGATGGGTCCCTTCTAACTCAGCATATTCTGATTCCTTCCAGCCTCTTTACCGGCTTTGCTGCCCTCCTCTGGACACGTTCAAGCACCTTAACATCCTTCTGAGCTGTGGGGCCTAGAACTGCACACAGTGCTCAGGGTGAGGCTGCACCAGTGCTCAGTACAGCAGGGTAATCACCTCTTCTGACCAGCTGGTCACACTGTGTTTGATGCACCCGAGGATGCAGTTCACCCTCCAGGCTGCCAGGGCAGGCTGCAGACTCCCTGAGCCTGCTGCTGACCAGCACCCCCAGGTCCCTTTCTGCAGGGTTGCTCTCCAGCCACTCCTCTCCCAATTTATAATTGTTCCCACCATTACTCCTTTACAGGTGCAGAATCTGGCATCTGAACTTGTTACATTTCACCCCATTACTCATAGCCCAATGCTCCAATCTACCTAGATCCCTCTGCAAGGCCTCTTGTCCCTCCAGAGAGTCAGCAGCATCTCCCAGTTTGGTATCATCAGCAAACTTGCTACTGGTGCATTCAACTGCTGCATCTAGATCACTGATAAATCCATTGAACAGCACTGGCCCTAGGATTGTACCCTGAAGAGCATCGCTGGTGACCGGTCTCCAGACAGATGTAGCCCCATTCACTGCGACCCTTTGGGCTCTGCCCTTCAGCCAGCTCTTCACCCAGCACACTGTGAACCCGCTCATCCCACAGTTGGACAACTTGTCCAGAAGGATTCTGTGAATAACAGTATCAAAAGCCATATTGAAATCCAGAAGAAGTACATCCACTGCCCTCCCTTCATCTGCTAGGTGGCTGACCTTATCATAGAAAAATATAATTTTAGGTAAATAGGATCTTCCCTTTGTGAACTCATGTTGACTGTGCCTGATGCTTGCATTATTCTTTAAATGCTTTTCAATAGTACCCAGCATGATATTCTCCATAATTTTTCCAGGGACTGAGGTTAGACTAGCAGGTAGTTTCCTAGGTATTCCTTCTCACCCTTCTTGTAAACTGGAATAATGCTGGTTTAGTGGCCAGTGAGCATGAAGCTCCCCAGACTCCCAGTGCCTTTGTTAGATGATCAAGAGAGGAGGGTTCTGCCATAACACCTGCTCTCCCTTTCAGAACTCTAGGGTGAATCTCGACAGACCTCATGAATGTTCAGCTGATACAGCTGGTCCCTTACTATTTCAGTGTCCAAAATAGTCACTGTTCCCGCACTTGTGATCTGCCAATTCATGACCAAGGTTTAGCCATCCTGTTAAAGACTGAGGTCAAAAAAGCACTGAATTTCTCCACTTTTTCTTCATTCATATTAGTCAGATGGCCATCTTCAACAAGCATCAGTGCAGTATTTTCTTTAGACATTCTCTTGCTATTAATGTACTTTTAAAAGCCTTTTCTCACGTGTGACACAACACGGGCCAGTTTCAAGTCTAATTGAGTTTTGGCCTTTCATGTCTTTTCCTGGCTTGTAAGAACCACAGCTCTGTACACTCTTTTTGCAAAGCCTGACTTTGCTTTCAGAAATCATACAGTTTCTTTTTTCTCTTAAGCTCCATGATGATTTCCTTGTTCAGACAAGCTGGTCTCCTGCCCTGCTTGCTCAATTTCCACACAGCAGAATTGCCTGCTCCTGTGCTTTTAAGAGGCAGCTCTTAAAAACTGACCAGTGCTTGTGGACCCCAAAGCCCTCTGAAGTAGTTTCCCAGGGTGCTCCACTAAGTAGCTCCCTCAAAAGCTTAGAGTTTGTTCTCCTGAAGTCCAGGGTAGCAACTCTGCTCTTTTTTTCTCATTACACTGAAAATTTTAAACATAACCATTTCATGACTGTTGTGGCAAAGATAGCCACCTACCATCACATCTCTCACAAGTCCTTCTCTACTCACAAATAGCAAGTCTAGGAGAGCACATCTCCTACTTGACTCACTGAGTACCTACGACAAGAAGTTTTCTCCCATATGAGAAGATATGAGGAGATGAGGACAGAGGAGAAGGAAGGTGAATTTTGTTTCCCTGGTTTGGCTTAATTTTTTAAAAATCAGGGATATGTTTCCTCCACACATTAAGACACTATGCTTAGTAGACAGCCCAGATTAGGCTCCAGGATTACAACATTGTTTCTCTACACAACAGTTACACATCTCAGTCCTCAGGCACGTAGGCAGAGCCCTGAGCTGCCCCGTGGAACAGGGTTGCAAGAAACCGTAACTTACTTATATAGAGGCTTATGGACACTCCTTCTCCTTCTGTCTGATTGTCATTGACTCCTGCAAATACTGTGAATTTGTACTTCGTCCCAGGGATTAAATCAGTAATTTCAATTTTGAGAGCATCAGATCTCAGGTTCCAAGCAGAGGTACCATTTGTAACCTCTATCCTGTACTTGTAGGAGCTGGAAGCAGAGTCGTTCACTGCCCATGTTAAGTTGACAGAAGTCTCACCAACAAATTCTGCCTGGAGATCATGGACTGGGCTGGGCTCTGTGAAAGGCAAGATAACATTCTGTCAAGAACATCTGTTCACAGACATGGACAGAAGAAACACAGGCACAGCACTCCTGCACTCCCTTCCCATCACTCAGGGTTCAGAGTGCAGGAGCACCCCAGCAACATCACCAGAAGCTCCTGGACACTTTTTCATCAATGGGTAGCTAAGGAAAAACTGAATTCATTCTGAGTGGGATTCATCTCCCATTGACACTCGAAAGTAGGAGCACAGGTCACCACTGTGCCAGCATTCCCAGGCTTTCCCTTAGGAATCTAGAGAGGCAGGCAGGAAAGAGACAAGGGTGGAGGGGAAGATGGGGAAGGAAGATAATTAAAACCAAACCAGAAACATTAGGGTGTGCTTCTGTTGTACACTAACATCCAATCCTTTGCATATAGCCCAGATCAGGCTCAGGATTAAAATACCATGTCCATACACAGTAGTATTGAATCACAATCCTCGCATAAGTAAGTAGGGCCCTGAGCTGCACAGTAACATACAGTCCACCAGACACAGGGCTGCAAGCAACCATAACTTACTTGTATACACCATTACGGACAATCCTTCTCCTTCTGTCTCACTATCATTTGCTACCACAAATACTGTGATAATATACAACGTCCCAGGGAGTAACTCTGTAATTCCAGCTGCGGGGACATCAGATGTCAGGTTCCTAACAAAGGAACCATTTACAACCTCTATCCTGTACTTGTAGGAGATGGAAGCAGAGTCGTTCACTGCCCATGTTAAGTTGACAGAAGTCTCATCAACATATTCTGTCTTGAGATCATAGACTGGGAAAGGCAAGAAAAAAAAAATTAACCTTCAAGAATATTTACTGATAAACACATAAAGCACTATTCTTTCCACCCTACCCAAACAACTGGTATCTGTAAAACTGTAATTGGTCTGGAAAAGTAATCAAGCAAGGCACACTTGCTAGCTCTGCAATGTACTCTTCCTCTAGCTTCTCACACTTTGATTCATCTCAAGGAGCAAAAGTGCCTATTACCACCCTGTCTTATCTGTCAACTTCATGCAAGGTCCTGAGAAAGACTGGAACACACAACCTGCTGTTGTTTTTTCTTAAGCTGGCTATCCCAAAGAGAGCCTTTCTCGCTGCAAGATTCACAAAGGCTCTCCTCTAGATACATGATACCCTCTATAATAGGTGGAATAGTTCAGCTGTACTCTATGTGTGTCTTTAGAATCCGTATGTCACAGTACACTTGAACTGTTACAGCTGTAACCTAAGAAGCCACAATAATCAGGGAAGGGAGCCAAAGTCTAACAGTGATAAAACTATTTCAAGGCTATGCAACAATCAGTGTTAAAGTGCACTCCCAGTCAGTTGTGCAGATGCATTTCTTCGGCCCATTCTCCACTCCAGTAAGGCAGCTGGATCCACACTCCTGCATACTTTTTGCACTCTGGACTAGAGTTTGGACTTAAAATACTAACACAGTATGAAAGCATAAAACGCCCTGAAGATTCACATCCCAGTCACATTCCAAACCACTTACGTGTTACATTGCTCTGATCACTGTCAGATAGTGACACATCCATGGATGATCTTCCACCTCCATAGGTTTTGTTTCCACTTGTAGAGTTTGCTGATAAATTATCATCACTAGTGGGTCCCGTTTCTGAACTGCAATTCTTAGTGCCTGAAAGAAAGAATACAAAGCAGTAAATACCTTTACAAAACTTCTGGGGTTTCCATTTGTAAAAGTATTGTTGTTTATAGATACCATGCACAGACATGCAGTCACTTCTGCTCTCCTAGTTTGTTCTCCCACAGAGAATTGCACATTTCCCGGTTTTACCATGTAAACTTCTGTCAGATTATCTGAACTAGATTGAGATTGCCAAAGTGTTTCAGTCACTCACTGGCTTGTACTTGTAGGAGCTGGAAGCAGAGTCGTTCACTGCCCATGTTAAGTTGACAGAAGTCTCACCAACAAATTCTGCCTGGAGATCATGGACTGGGCTGGGCTCTGTGAAAGGCAAGATAACATTCTGTCAAGAACATCTGTTCACAGACATGGACAGAAGAAACACAGGCACAGCACTCCTGCACTCCCTTCCCATCACTCAGGGTTCAGAGTGCAGGAGCACCCCAGCAACATCACCAGAAGCTCCTGGACACTTTTTCATCAATGGGTAGCTAAGGAAAAACTGAATTCATTCTGAGTGGGATTCATCTCCCATTGACACTCGAAAGTAGGAGCACAGGTCACCACTGTGCCAGCATTCCCAGGCTTTCCCTTAGGAATCTAGAGAGGCAGGCAGGAAAGAGACAAGGGTGGAGGGGAAGATGGGGAAGGAAGATAATTAAAACCAAACCAGAAACATTAGGGTGTGCTTCTGTTGTACACTAACATCCAATCCTTTGCATATAGCCCAGATCAGGCTCAGGATTAAAATACCATGTCCATACACAGTAGTATTGAATCACAATCCTCGCATAAGTAAGTAGGGCCCTGAGCTGCACAGTAACATACAGTCCACCAGACACAGGGCTGCAAGCAACCATAACTTACTTGTATACACCATTACGGACAATCCTTCTCCTTCTGTCTCACTATCATTTGCTACCACAAATACTGTGATAATATACAACGTCCCAGGGAGTAACTCTGTAATTCCAGCTGCGGGGACATCAGATGTCAGGTTCCTAACAAAGGAACCATTTACAACCTCTATCCTGTACTTGTAGGAGATGGAAGCAGAGTCGTTCACTGCCCATGTTAAGTTGACAGAAGTCTCATCAACATATTCTGTCTTGAGATCATAGACTGGGAAAGGCAAGAAAAAAAAAATTAACCTTCAAGAATATTTACTGATAAACACATAAAGCACTATTCTTTCCACCCTACCCAAACAACTGGTATCTGTAAAACTGTAATTGGTCTGGAAAAGTAATCAAGCAAGGCACACTTGCTAGCTCTGCAATGTACTCTTCCTCTAGCTTCTCACACTTTGATTCATCTCAAGGAGCAAAAGTGCCTATTACCACCCTGTCTTATCTGTCAACTTCATGCAAGGTCCTGAGAAAGACTGGAACACACAACCTGCTGTTGTTTTTTCTTAAGCTGGCTATCCCAAAGAGAGCCTTTCTCGCTGCAAGATTCACAAAGGCTCTCCTCTAGATACATGATACCCTCTATAATAGGTGGAATAGTTCAGCTGTACTCTATGTGTGTCTTTAGAATCCGTATGTCACAGTACACTTGAACTGTTACAGCTGTAACCTAAGAAGCCACAATAATCAGGGAAGGGAGCCAAAGTCTAACAGTGATAAAACTATTTCAAGGCTATGCAACAATCAGTGTTAAAGTGCACTCCCAGTCAGTTGTGCAGATGCATTTCTTCGGCCCATTCTCCACTCCAGTAAGGCAGCTGGATCCACACTCCTGCATACTTTTTGCACTCTGGACTAGAGTTTGGACTTAAAATACTAACACAGTATGAAAGCATAAAACACCCTGAAGATTCACATCCCAGTCACATTCCAAACCACTTACGTGTTACATTGCTCTGATCACTGTCAGATAGTGACACATCCATGGATGATCTTCCACCTCCATAGGTTTTGTTTCCACTTGTAGAGTTTGCTGATAAATTATCATCACTAGTAGGTCCCGTTTCTGAACTGCAATTCTTAGTGCCTGAAAGAAAGAATACAAAGCAGTAAATACCTTTACAAAACTTCTGGGGTTTCCATTTGTAAAAGTATTGTTGTTTATAGATACCATGCACAGACATGCAGTCACTTCTGCTCTCCTAGTTTGTTCTCCCACAGAGAATTGCACATTTCCCGGTTTTACCATGTAAACTTCTGTCAGATTATCTGAACTAGATTGAGATTGCCAAAGTGTTTCAGTCACTCACTGGCTCTACTCATGGTTTGGATGAATCTGCCCTTTTTTTCAGTGCAGTTTTGTTTGAAAATAACTGAACAAACTTGTAGCCAACTTCTGCATGTGTATTCTTCTTCCATGTTACAAAAAGCTAGCTGCTTATCCTGACATAGCAAGTTTGTCTCTCCCCCTCAATGTATGACAAAAAAAGTTCTCAAATTCACACAGTGTGTTCCCACAAGTAAGGAAGAGACACTGTGTACCTACAAAAAACAACTTTAGGCTGATGTGGCACAATACAAAGTGTGGAAAGAGTTGATTCTGGTCCTAAAATTGAAAGGCTGAGTCATGTAAGTCTGATGTTCAGTGTTAAGGTAGAACTCATCTGCAGGTACTTTTTGGAAATTTCTGCCACATGAAAACTTGTCATCTTGGCAAGTACAGCAGTTGCTATTCTCACTTCAGAAAATGCTTAAAGCATAACTTCAGGTGTTGTCTTTCATTTTGGATTGGTTTGTTTTGTATGGCCTTCAAGTATATTTTCCAATCTTTCTAAGCACATTATATCTGTACTTGATTTTAGCAGAACTCTTACTAACTGAAAAGCAAAGGGAATTTCTATCTTTAAATATCCTAAAATGCACTGCACTTCATATAACTAAATTATGTGAGTTTACATTTTTTAATGCTATTTCTAAAATTTATTTTCAGGAAGGTTTTTTTAAATACTTCACTGATACTGCTCAATTAGGATAGAAATTAAATAGAAGAAATTCCTTAAAAGAAATTAGGATAATGAAAGTTATACAAAAAAAATAATTGAACAACAGAACAGTACTTACAGGCAGTTGTACATCTGACCTGGAAAATAAAAATAAATAATAGAAATTAAAATTTTAAAACCACTGGAAGCTCAAGTAAATAAGGACTGTATTAATTGACACATGGGAGGAGGGGGTGACACTAAAAAATCCAAACTTTTCAACCTGCAAAAGAGATACCTAAAAATCTACTGATATCAAAATAACACCAAAAATACACCAAACTATCTGGAAATAAAGGCAAAAACAAAAACACAAACAAAAAAACCCCGTGTCTTCACTTGTTCTTTTTTTCTTTAAACCAGTTTATTTTGTCACAAAACCAGCTTGCATAACATATGCTGATTATTTTGCACACATAAATTTAAAACCAAAACCTAGAAGATCTTAGTCAAAGGACAGTTTAGTTAGTAGCTCTGAAACCATCCCACAGAAAGCAGCAGGTGACAATTAGGTCTTTTTTTCTTCATCCGATGTTGCCTTTCATTCCCATTGCTGTATGAATTTCATTATTCCATCTTGCGAACAAGTATTTAGCGTTTTCTGAAACAAACTCAACGTAGTCAAAGTTCAAAACAGTATACATTTTGAAATCTTATTTATATATCAAAAAAGAATCATGCCATTTAACTGCAGCCTGAAACTTACTCTTTCTAGCAATACTGACAAGCATACTAGAATTTGGCTTTGAAGGGGTTTTTTAGTTTTTCAACTTCATGCTGTTACTTCCCAATAAGCCACTTCCTTTCCTGTGAGCATGCAGACTGTCCTGTAACTTGTTTTCTTCATCTCCTCCCAGGTGGCAGCACAAAATACTTCCTAAAGTACTGAAATCAAAGCCCCAGACTGAGGTCTGCCAGCACTCTAGAGGAACACTGATTTCCTGAGATTCTCGTGGCCAGCTGACACCACCCGATGGCAGAAGCCACTTTCGTAATGTAATAAATAGGTTATTTCAGCAGTTGTATTAAGGATTAAGAACAAGTATGCACCTTGCAAAGGTACACAACAAGGCAAAAAGAGCTACGCAGAGATGTGGGTCCCAAGGACAGGCAAGTCCTCAGCATGGTGCTGGAGATATGCAGGTCACAATGCCCATGAGTGGTGCAGGCATGGTAGGTTTCTGCTGATTCACCTCTGGGTTGTTTTTGGCATCATGGGAGTGCAGGCAGAGGCAGTCTCTGGCCCGGGTGACTCTAAAATCACCTGCAGGAGAGCTAGTCCTTGGACTTTATGCTGTGTTACTCCTAAAAAAATCCAGCTTAGCTTTATGCCAGACGGTACCCAAACAAAGCACCAAACCTGCCAACTGCACAGGTTGACTATTTACCTAAAGCACTTGAAACTGTCTCATTTTCTCTTTCCAGTCTGTTTTCTTAGACAGTTTCTTAGCTGTTTCTGCCATGCCACAACCTAACTCAAAATATGCAGCTATATCACAACAACCCAATGTAAAGCTTGAATCCCACATCACTCGCCCCCAGCTCTCATGCTGCTGGTGCCACACATAGCTCTATTAGCAGTGGCTCCCTGCATTACAGTCGTGGACCCAAGCCTCAAAAAATTGTTAGAAGATGCCACTAAACCTTGTTGTCTGTAAGAGTGACTACAAAAAGCATTCTCCACAAAGACGAGGCAGGCCAGCTGACTAGAAGTTACCCCTCCAGCTATACAGTGAGGAGAAATGCAGCAGAAGAAAGCTTCAAGTGGAGAGACCCCCTTCCTGCCCATGATGGTCTTGGTGCCATAGCATGAAGCATTCAGGCACACTTCCTAGGCAAAAGAACACTTGTAAGCATCAAATAACCAACTCCTGGTCTTCCTCTAGTGCAGCCCTACTGATAACTTAGGACACAAAGGACATTACTTGAGATGCAGATGTCCCACATATAATCCCATATAGGCAACCTGCAAGGCTATTAGAAAGTGAGGAAATGTTTATCTGCATTCAGGTCAAGTGCCTTTCTGTATTCTTTCACAAGGAAGTGGAAAAAGAAAAGACTACAAAGGAAAAATCCACTTATGAGGCAGGAAAACACACTGTGCAGCATTCAGAGTAGAAGTGCTAGACTATGTGGAAACAGCTGCTGAATGATGAGCAAGATGCTAGATTCCCTGAAAAGCAAGAGCAATCTAAAAGCAAAGCCAAAAAGATTCTAAGTTTAACCATAGAGTGGTTTGGGTTGAAAGGGACCTTAAAGATGATCTAGTTCCAACCCCCTGCCATGGGCAGGGACACCTCCCACTAGACCAGGTTACTCAAAGCCCCATCCAACCTGCCCTTGAAAGAAAGGAAAATTGGAAAAAGAAGAAAACAACAAGAAGAAATGCTACAGGACAGAGTAAGTCACAGTGATTGCCACAGCCCTACAGACAAAACAGCAGAAGCCTGACATCATTCACGACCTGTCCTTCAGTTACTTCCTCTCCTGTAAAACTGCCTGAAGATGAGTGAGTTTCCCATCTCCTCCCCACTTTCAAGTTCAGGGATACAACATAATTCCTGAGCAACAGGAACAACAGACATCATAAGACTGAAAAACAGGTATGCCACTGCACCCTTGCTTCTCAGCTCCTTATTTCTTCCCTGCCAGCTCACACAGAAAGCATGTTGATTCCTGTTTCACCCTCAGGTACAGCCAAATTATTACCCAGCTGCTAAAAACTTGGTCGCACTGTCAATGTGAGGGTTTTGTTAATGGTGATCAAACAACAAAAGGAAAGTTATGCTAAAACTCCTGTCACCTGATGAATGAACAGCTTCCCATCATTTTCCTTGCTTTTGTTTATCACACACTTTGGCAACACCCCCTCACAATACCCCTCTCTCTGACTTTCCAAAACTCTGTGTGCAAACCAAATTCAAAAACAAAGCAGATCCCAACAAAGGAGATCCCAGTGGCAGCAGGCAGGACTCCCTCTGAAATGCAAAACGACACAAAACAAATTATCCCACTCCCAAGGGTCAGCCTGCCTGACTCATTCTGTGCTGTATCTTTCAACACAAGCCATGAACGGAACTGTTCTCTGGCGTTATTACTTAATGAGATACTATTTATACACAACACCTATTATTTCAGAAGGTATTTGTGTTGAACACCTGATTCTCCTTGTGTTTGCCTCTAGTATATCAGGAGACCTGCCACCTCCACTTCTCAATGACAGGAAGCCAAATTATTCATGTATAGAGTTGGTTATTTTTTTAACCAAAAATATTCAAACTTGGGGTACAGGTGGAACATTCTTGCACAAGAAAATAAAAGACAGAAAATATTCAAACTCAACTACAGGAGAGGTACATACACAAACTCATTACTGTCATCAGCTATGGCAAATGAGTCTTTCCATGTGTCACACAGCCATGCTTAGAAACTGATTAAAGGCGCTGTGTTCCAGAGGAGTTGCATAATTCATCTGCACTCACACAAGGTCTGCTGTTCTCCTTATGTGTGAAGTTTATTATTGACCAGGAGTTGCTTGTATGTAACCTGCACAGGATTCAGCTCCATCCTCCTCAGATACACAGTAGGCCACCTCATAGAGGAATTACTATCATTAGTCTCACAGGTAACCTTAAAAAGGAAGAAATAAAATGTGCTGCAGGAAAACATCTTCAAAAATACTAACTCACTGCAAAGCCTCAATTCCACTGATATTTGATACAACTGAGACAAAGACCAAGATATTTTCAGGAGCAGGATTTAAGATGTTCCTAGGGTACACATGCATCAGGGGAGCCATGGGAGCTGGGTAGCAGTGGGGAAGACAGAAGTGCCTCCTCTTCTGCTGGCCACAAGAGTTTAGATCAGCTTGGTTCTGCTGCCAAACTGTACCCTCTGATGAAGTTAAGAGTTCCTGCACCAGGGGGAAAACATTTGCTCACAACAGCCCACCTGTCTGGGGTGCTCCAGTTTTCAAAACAAACAATGTGGTTTGGTTAATGTAAATACAAGGTTAGGAAGCTGGCTAAACAGTCATAGTGAGCAAACCAAAAAATCCTAACCAAAAAAACCCCTTAGCCACAAATCCTTTCTGAGAACACTACTTGAAGATGTTGCTTACTATTTTTTGTGTGATCACCAGTGTGTGCCTGGTGACATAGATGCAAAAAGTCAGGAAATTAATCACACTTCTCAAAGCTAACCATCTTCAGATCTTCTCTCATCTCCCCATCCATCCTCTCAGGTTTGGAGAAGCTCCACAAAAATACCACCAAGCCATCA